CACATTTTTATTTCCTTAGCGGCCCAGTTGAATTGCCCACTGGAGGACATTGTGTGGTATGGTGTGTGGACCTTCCTCAATACTTTTATCTCGCAGTATTTGCATGATCTGGCAGTACCTTCCTCTGAGAGTTTTCGACTACTCCTCATAGCTATCTTAGCCACATGTGCTAGATTATAAAGAGGGGTGAGTATGTTCATTACTAATTTTGTCTCTTCTTTACTTTCCAGGTTCCCTTATCTCTTTTTCACAGGATCCTGCTCTGTGGCAAGTGTTGCCCAGGCAGGTGTGCTTTTATCAAATCATATCTGCATTAGCAAACATTAACACAGTATACTTTGTCTAGGTTGCAACAGGCCCTTCTTTTTGATCAATATTGGTTCAGTACATTGTTCATGGAAGAGGGTCCATTGTCTCCTCATAATTCCGAATGCAGAATGGCCCTATTCTATGTACTTTGTTGAGCACAGTTTGTTCCATGTCCTTCCCATAATTCTTGGGACAAGTGGATTTTACCTTGACCACATGGATGGGGAGTGAAGATGATTATTCATAATTCCAAACTGGATGAGTTTTGTTTCTTCAGGTTGAGTATGGCATACAAGATCCTGTCATTCTGAGTCTGGGGTATTGCCTTTCGGACTTCTTCAGGTTGAGGAGAGGGTTTGTCTACTTTAGTGTTGCTTAGCAAACTCTAACACCAGCTCTTAGTGGGGAGGAAGGGCAGGAGAGTGTCTGCGGAGGTAAATATTATTGGAAATACATTTACAGCTAGAATCCCACATTGATAAAGTGGAGGGGTCGATGAGGGCATTATCCATACAGAATGAGTGTGCATAGATCATGGGTGTGCCAATAAGAGATCAGCACCATAGTGGGGGAATCGCACTACATCCAGAACAAATATGCTCTTCACTGGAACCTAATTCATGCACTGCGAGTAGAATTTGATATGATCCATCATCACAATTGGACAGGCTCCAACCAGGTAACTGAGGTTCCACTACTTGGGGTTGGAATTATAAGGTCATGGTCCCTAAATCCCATGTTGGTGGCTAGGGCATTTGGACTGCAATATATATACATATGAGTGGTTCCCCCTCTAGCTATAAAGTGATGTATTCCGAGCGACCGGAATCAAGACGAGAAGAAAGATTGAGTCAGTCTCAAAAAATGATAATATTATATGAATGAGTTGTTTACATACAGTACCAGGATAGAGGGTGCATTGACATAGGTGGAGTGTCGCAAAACAGATATTGCCAAGGACAAT